AGAATGGTAATACCTGCAGAAAATCAGTACAAGATTAGAAAAATTGAGAATTAATTTGAGAAAAAATTTAACTATAAAAAAGTAAAAAATTTTAACAAGCCAACCCTCAAAAACGCCTTTCGCTCACAAATAGCTTCTGCCAGTTTTGCTAATCCATGAGCCAGTCGTTCTTGCAACAAGGAATCGAGACTTTTATGTTCGCCATAATATTGCACCTTATGAGATACGGAGGCAACCAGCTGGATGTATATCGCGCACTGATCATATAATACTGCATTTGGGCAAAGACGTAGGCAATTCTATAATTATTGTTCAGAATTTAAAAATCTATACATCATTCCAATAAAAAAATTTGAATTTAAGGAACTGAGCAAGTCATATCAGATTTTAATTAAAAACAAATTTTTAATTTAGTAATAGTTACCAGCAAAATTTTTTCTATTTTCAAAAGACTGTGCGCGTCTGCTTCACTACCAGCCCCTGATTCATACAAAAATGGAAACGACACAGATATCAGACTAAAGACAAATGAAACAACTTGTCGCTCCTTCTCATCACCAGAATGTAACTACAATATGAAAAATCAACAACAGAACTTCAAAACCGCTGTATTCAAACCTCCGATAAAAATAATGAATGATCGCTTCATAAAACGTAAAGAACTTATTTATCAAAATAGAAAACCAAGAATACTTCAACAAGATGACCGGCCAATAGTAAGCCAGTTTCTGCGTCCTTTTCCGATGCAGAACATATAGCATCGATCAAATAATCAGTCATCAGCGAAAGTAACTGCCGTTTCTTGTTGTTTTTCAACCCTCCGATAACAAGACAACAGCGGATGACATGAATTTGCGGAACGTTTTTTGGTCTTTTCGTTATAAGATGTTGCAACTAAAAAGTCTCCGCAAAACTGTATAAAAATGGGGCTAAATTTGATAAATCGGTGGTTTAATCCTCCTTGAGACAAACGAATTTGTAGGCTAAAGATGTAATACCAGTCACCGAATAAATAAGGAAAACATTTACCTCTTCTAAGGTACAAGAAACAATAATCTTCTCAACAAGTCCAACACTGCACTGCACGAGTTCCGCAAGGTACTTCCATTTCAAGAGCTTTGAATAACTATTCTCGTGTATCAAATACTCCAAGATAACATTTAGAATTGAGACAGATGAGGCTTTATTTTTGTCCTCGAAAACAAAGTATTTCTGGTAATGCTTGCAAACTGTCAGGCAAACCTTCAAAAAGTTTAAATCGCGAATACTTCAAAGAATTATTTACGTAGTATTTTAGCAAATAACTACAAACAGACTCTGCTTGAAAGAATGGCACCACTACCTAAGATACATATAAACTTTCTATCGGAAAAGTAAACTAGACTAAATTGATAAAGAAGAAAAAAAGCGAGTTAGGGTTAAATTCAATTGCTTCTTTATCTCATACATATACAGCGTCAGTAAATTAGAGCTAATATTGTCTTTAATAAACAGAGACGTACGTTTAATATCAAAGGTCTGTTGAAAACAACAGCTTCTTGAAACCCTGCACGCCTATTGATCTGCTCCAAATAGTGTAATGACTTCAGCATACAAGCCAAAAATCTTATTCCATGAGCTTCATTTACAATATCTGCACTAAGTTGCTCGTAAAAAGAACTTAAAATTGGACAATCCAACTGAAATAAAAGCTATAGCAAGGATTATTTATAATATGTGCTGTAATTTCAAACAACTGTCATAAGCTACAGCAAACTCATCGATCAAAACGATGTAGTAGGAGAAACAAGACCAATGTTGGTAAGATCTTCACTTCCCTTCGGTTTTATTTGGAATCACTCAGTCATAAATTTAGCAAGAGTTTTATTCTCAAGAATATTCCTCAGTAGTATACTTCTAAAATACCGGTGGACAAAATTATCTTTAAGAAACTACCAATTATTCTGGCTGAAGGAATCCATAGAAAAAGTATCTATGTCGAACAAAACGTTGATAAGAATGTACACTCTCTAAAAATGTTTACTGCACTAATTACTTCGTACTCTATGTCTCTATGTGATAAGGTGCAAGTGTAGCAAAACTTTAAGTAGCCTTACCTAATGATTTTCTCAGGAAGGTTAAACGCAAATACTGCATTCTACTGACCAAAGTAAAGAACTTGCTATACTGGCAAAAACCCCTTTCAACTACTTAAGCAATTTCAGGAGAAATTTACCAACGCTAATAATGAGAAGGAAAATGAAAAAACCACGAGAATTCACCAGCAGCTTCCTTAAAGTTTTAGCCTCTTCCGAATTTTCGACTGAAACAAAAACGGATTCGCGGACAGCGCTGACTGCAATGGAAAAAAGAAGTATTTCAATCTCTGAACCTCGTTCGGCTTCCGCAAAATAAGTACACTGAAAGCAAATATTTCTGAAAAAATCTTTTGAAGCTCTAAGCCAAAATTAAGAGCGAATGAAGTATAGATAGTGATGAATGTCATAAAAAGTTTATAAAGCAAGGACTTACGCCCTTAAGGAAAGTTGGAAAACTATCAAATGATAGTAGACAATGTTTCCAAAATTCTGCTACACGTAACCTCGTATCACCAAAGTCGAATGCTGGCTTTAAAAACAGAAAAAGTTTTTCTACACCCAAGCATCCAACCAGAGAGCGCAGGTACGAGATGTCAGACCTAAAATGAAGTAAATAAACAAAAATTTAAGTGAAGAAAAACATAGTTTCCCTCAGAAATCTCGTGGTAGAGCGAATTAATGTTATAACGGTTTGACTCAAAAAAAGCCTAAGAAACAAAAAAACAAACTCGAAGATTTCAAGGACAGAATGAAGGGCTTTACGGGCATCTTCCACACTACAAAGTCTGAATATCATTAGATTTATACCAAGCAGAATCGAGCGGAGAGGAAGCGGCAGTGCCTTAAATCCATAATTACAAGCAAACAAAAATTCACAAGCTCCTTTGTTAACAGTATAATGTCCAGATGCACTGTTTTCTTGTAGAACAACTTTAATATACTTCTTTACGCACTTCCTCCAACAATTTTGGAAATGAGACCTAAAATTACAAATTCTCGCTCTGATATAACACAAAAACCATCTATTTGCACCTATGCTGTCGAACCTTTAAAACAGTAGGAAGATGACCAGAAAGAAGATTAATGATAAGAATAAAATAAAATTTTAAAAAATTTTCAAAATATACTTTAGCGTCACCCTATATTAACCGCAATACGAGGAGACATAGCAATTTTACGCAAAGCTATGGTACTCAACTATTAAACTTACAACAAGGCACCTACTGTAGCGAATGCGGTACTTCAGGTATTTCAAAATATTTCACTGTGGGCAATAAACATATCAGCAATTCCTCCATAGTTCTTGACCATTTTACCAGTAAACATTTTATGGAAAATGTATATGAAAACACTAGAAATAATTACGTTTCATACGTGACTTCCTCACCATTCCACCCTGGCACAATAAGGGATAGCAATTCAGCTGTACTCTCATCAAAAGCAGCTTTTACTGCAGCGGCCTTTTCACCTGCACAGGCTATAAGATTTTGGGGTAACGACGATATCAATACACGGAAAAAAAGCAATATCAGATTTTTTCCATCATTATTGAACATTCTTTGCTCCCTCAAGACCGAACCCAAAAGCTCATGGAGCTAAAAAGTAATTGTAAATCAAAAGCTTGAAACTTGCGAAACATATCATTTATACTTTCCAGAAATTGAATAATATAGACGTTTTAAAAAATAGGACAGTGAAAAAAGCTAAAAAATAGCTCTGTACCTTGTTGCGCTCAAAGTTAAAGGCCACAAGTGCATCAAGTAAGGCGGTCGCATTGGGTAGTGAACACTTCGGAATGATTACAAACAAGTGATCGGTCAAAATAGAAAAAAACTGAAAAATTATGAACACCTAATAAAAGTTTAGCAATTTTTTATGATTTTAAAAACCTGCCAAAGCTTTTGGATATCCAAGACAGCAAAAATTACTTTATCCTTGAACTCAAAAAAGACTACTGCTAGGAGTAGTAAAAAAATTTAGTGTCATTTCAACCCCGTTTAATAAAACAAAAGCAATAGGAGAATTGGGCAGAAATAAAAGTTACGAGTAAACGTTTGAATTCTGGTACCTGGCTTCGTGGACAGAGGAAATCATCATTTACAACTTCATTTATTTTTTGTAATTTATTGCTTTTGCACAGTGCCTCTATCAAACCTTCACAGTTCCTCCTCATTCGGTTTTTTAGAAGAAATGTCTGCAGTAACACAACTGGAAATTTCCGAGAGGCCTAAACAAGCGAAAAGTACCAGGAAGTTGACTGTTGAAGGAAACCATTACATAACGTCATGTCCACTTATGAATAGGAAAGTAAAATATTAATAGAAACAAAGCCAACAGTAAATTAATACAGAAAGCTAAAAAAATTATTATGATTCACGGCACCTTGGAATTCAGAAAGTTATTCCAAATAGAGTCAATGTTATCTATATCGACATCGTCCAAGTAAGTGACCTCAGCAACCGTGGTAAGGAATAAAATGTTCAGCAGCACACCAGCTATACCATACAACTTCTGAGAAATGAACTGATGACATACATCTACCAACTTACTCTTCAAAAGCAAGCGAAGCTCCACATTTTGCAGTAAGTCAGTCGTATGAATGAGAAAACTTAACAGTACAGCATAATTCCTAAAGAGTACCGAAGTGAGCACAAATTTGTTTGGTAACAACTGTAAACGGTCATATCATCCAGTGTTAAAAAGGGTTCTGAAATAGGGACCTTTTATTTTCCACCTTTTCCAATTGTGAAATCCACGCGCTTGCATAACCTAGAACAGTTCTTTGACCTAGAAGCAAGACCTCAGCACGCAAATCTTCCAGGATCATAAAAGACAGCCGAAAAGAAACGTCACAAGAAGACAAACTATCCACCACCGATAAAACAGAAGCAATCCCTCGAGTATGTACAGCCCGTAATATTATTTCTAAATCGCAAAAAAATAAAATTAAAAATGAAAAAGATATTGTTCATAAAAATAAATGATTCTTTTTCTAATGAATTCCATCAGTGAATGATGTATAAAGCTCTTCAGAAATAAGCAAAGAATGCAAGCACCACACAAATACCCGATTTCTGGCCACAGCATTGTCGTAATTCTTCTTCTATTTCTTTGTCAGTTGGAGGGCCCTAAATTATTTCTGTAGAAGAAACCTGAATTTCCAATCTTTAATGAAGAGTAAAATAACCACTTTAACTAAAAGTATAATAAGAAAAGAATAGCAGCTACCAGACGACGACGTCTCGTTTCAACTTCCATTTCTTCCTGCGAAGGATACTCCCAACGAGTTTTTTAAAAGATAAAGCAATATTTCCTGAAAAAAACTCATTTTTTTTCCTTCATTGTCTAAAACTAAAAATACACTAGAATTACTAATACCAGTGGTACCATTTCTTTAAGTCACTTTACTTTGAAAGTTTCAATCAGGACTGTGTAACTTGTATCATTTCGTTTCCAATGAGACAAGGCAGTCCTTCGCAGTAATCACGTCTTCAAAGCCCACGGTGTGACGTTTCTTCCAAATGTATATCCAAAAAAAATTAATATAAACTTCTATTGTAACTATAACACGCAGCTTCTGAAATCCAAATTTTAAGTTTCTACATGAATTCCAGTACTCTAGTAGCCATATAAATAGCGTGTTGAGCAAACAATTTGGAACTTTCAACTTTCTATAGCCTGTAACAGATTCATAGAAAGATGAACAGCACAGCAACTCATAAACCAATAATCAAGAAATCATGAACAAACCTTTAAGTTTAACCTGAAAAATTTAAAGATTCCATCTTAACAGCTCCGTTCAGTGAATATTTAAAGATAAAGACTGTTTAAAAATTCAAGACTTCAAATCTTGCTTTAAAAAGTTCAATTTCCAATATATAACTAAGTAGTTCCAGACTCATACAGTCTTGAATAAAGTCTTCGCTGTTAAAACCTAAACACCGCTCTGAAATCAACAAGCAAAGTGCCAAAAAAAAGTAAGTTGTATGACTTACGCTCAGTCACCGTAATTAAACTAAAATATGAAGACCGTTTTTGCCTCTTAAAACTTAAAACCAAATATAGATTTATTATAAGAATTCCCCTTCAGCTGCTCAGTACGAGTCAAATAGCCATTCATGAACTAACTCGAAAAACACAATAAACTACTTCTGCACAACAACTACAGGAAACTTATGACGAGAAAGCCAGCTTCTTTGACAGTCACACTCACACTACCGTTCAAATTCATTTTGAAAATTATTCTACAAAGAAATAAACCGAATTAAACTGCTCGGTGTACTTGACCGCACGACAATTCTCAGAAGGGGTCATTTAACGTTTCAAACCTGCTCGAATAATGACTCTCGCTAAAAACTACCGGACCTGAACTGCCAAATAACCAACTCCGAGCACTATTTGTAAAACACAGTCCTCCCCCAACAACATAATGCAACTAATAACCACTTAACACTTGAAACGCTTTATAAACGCCGGAGAATGACTCAGCGCCTCAAGAACGCTGAAATAGACGAAACTTCAAGCAATTCAGTTCTCGATTTCAATTTGACCCACACATGCGGCTGGGCATTGTACGCAACTCGCAAATTATCCTCCAAACAACTAGCGAAGTTACGATATGCGTGCCAATACAAGATGTAAAAATAAAAGAGAATCTAGATATCTTAAGCGAGCACATCACCGTACTACCTGGAAAAACACGAAACTTCTATCGGCAATCGATCCAAAGCTGAGCAATGTCCTGAAAAATTATCCCACCACGCGTGTATCCATAAGGACTCACCTATTATATTCCAATCATTCCTTTCCCCAATGCTCTACTGAACTCTAAAAGACAACAAAATGAAACTCAACCTCCACTTCAGAATCCCAGTGCTTTACACAAATGTCAACCCTCATGACTAGCAAGCAAGAAACCTCACAAACTGCAAACAAAAAAAAAAGCTGCAGGACAACCGCTACAACCACAGGTAACATAAATAATACTTGAAGCCAGCTGATACTCATACTAATATCATCAAATTCGTCCACTTCTCTCCCACTAAATGACTCATCTTACTAGAATTTCCTCAGAACTAGCAAATCCCGTAATACTTCTAGAAAACAACCTGATTTCTCAGTCAATATCTAACGCATGAATCATTTAAAATAACTGCTGCGCCTATAAGACTTGTGTAACGATTTTATTTTTTGGAATTTTGGCTAAGCAGTAAGAGGCCTATCAATCCACAGTAGATGCAACTTAGTACTTTTGAAATAAAAAGACCCTCATTTTTTGTTGGCAACCCCCAACTTTTCGACATTTAAAAGAAGCTTTATGTATACGATAAATTTTGATTCACAACAAACAAAACTGTACAGATGACGGCGATCCTCAACTTCGAAATGGTCATCCAGAAAACGGTAAATTACGAAGATAAAACTGTTGAAAACCCCGATAGCCAAATTACAAGCAGATTAAAATCAATGATTTAAGAAACAAATGACATAGTAATAAATGGCCTGAGGTCGATAACACAGTTATTTAGGGAAAGAACCGAAATTCTCACGAACATAAAACAAAACAAGCAACAGAAGCATGTTTATCCAACCATGTTACTGTTTTTCTTCAACAAGGGCTTCCTTGAGAAGCATTAGATAAGGTACTTCACCGTCGCTCTCATCACGATATTCGACGATACATACTTGTCCATCACCAGCACCCTCTGCCATTTTTTCTCCTGAAAATGCAGTCTTCAGTAAAAATTAGCCTGAACCCTCCAAGAAATGCATTAAAAAGATGCCATTTATAAAGTACAAAATGCATAGATTAAAAAAAAAAAGCATTCACTTGAAAACTGGAAACTGAGCAGTCCTATGTTTTATTACAAGAATGTTAAACAAAAGAAGCACAGTTAAAAAAAGACGGTACAATAAAATCAATACCTATGAAGAACTGAAGATTCTTAAAACGTTCCTTGTTAAGCAGTGAAACAATCCACGCTTGAACCTTCTTTTTAAATTCATTGATTTCTGCTTCAGATTTCCCATTTTTTTGCATTAATTCGACCACCTTCTTCATAAAGGTCTTAGCATAGGACTTAAATACTGATATATCTTCGTAGCAGTTCATTTCCTAAATCCCGTTACAATCATTAAGGCAAAAATACCAGTTTTTGTAAGCATTATACTAGGACGACAAACTAATCCTGAAACGAACCTACATCACAGAACCAAAAGGCACAAAAAAAAAAAAAGGAAATAACAATTTAAAATACAAGTGGCTTTCTAAAACAAGCCTTTTTACAGACTTTTTAACACCAAAACTATCTTTAACATTCATCATGACAGATCTACAATTACAATCAAAAACTCCTTACCCTTTCAAAAAACAGAGGAGTAGAACGTCATTCCTCAATACCCTACAAACTGAAATGGCTATGAAATATCTAAAAAACAATCTTTAAATAATAAACCTGCAGATGATGGTTCAATACGAAGTCAATTCCCCTTTCAACATGTTCCTCTGTACCTTCATCCATATTTTCCTCTTCAGCTGAAGGGTTTGCTCCGGCAAGAATAATATCACCTTCCTTCCGCACCACCTGCCTGCCTTTGAATTCCCAAATGATACCGTCAACTAATTTCATAGGGAAAGAATCCGAGCAAAGCTCGTCATCTAAAAAAATACTCGTAAAACAATTAGAGTGAGAAAGCGTAAGGTCTCTAAACAAAAAAAACTAGGGTTTTTACTATCCAAAATGAACACCAAGCTGCTTGTAGGTTTTTCTTACAACGAGAGACATAAGCCAGAAGTAGATGTATCCCAAAAAACCTTACGATCTATCGCACGTTGACTCATTTGCAATACACTAATGCAGTCGACAGAGCTATCTGAATAGCAGATGAAGAGCAAAACGCACTTACTTACTGCTAATTAAATAGATAACGACCCATAGTATTACAAATTCAAGGAGTGCGATCCAACTAAGCAATTAAACAAAGAAAAGTAGAGACGTGCCCACATTATAAAATATCGGTACCCATAGTTATTCAAACCTGTGAAAGCATCCTTGAAGATCAGCATTCCGAATGCAACCAGTTACCGCAGGAATGAGAAGTACCTAGATAACTGCTAATTATGAACCAATACCACGTAAAACATCTTTTTAGTACTACACAACAACAGATTAAAAATAAAAGACCGCTAAGAAACTGTAGTTTCCCAGTGTTTGAAATTGGAGGCAATGCCTCCTAACTACCACAAAGAACAAAACTATCCCCCTGAAAAAATTCTCATTTAGTAAAAAAAACAACCCCAAAGAACTGGTGCAAACAAAACCAGTTTAAAACTGAAGAGAATCAAGATCAACTCGAATCAAGAACTTTTTCGCAACGTTGAAAAAACGTCGGGAAGGACAGTCACGTACTAAACAAATGAAACTTTTATTACGCACAACAAAGATGGTTCTCAACAAACGAGGATGCTGCCCAAAAAATAACAACTTTAATCAAATAGCCCAAAGCCCATATCTTCATCATCCGACTCTTCTTTCGGTTCTTCCTTAGCTGGAGCAGCAGCTTTCTCTTCAACAGCGGGAGCAGAAGCAGCTGCAGGCGCTGCAGCAGTAACAAACTTCGACGGATCAGACAGATACTCTTTTATCTAAATAATACAAGGGAACCTTACTAATTGACACAATTTAAACTACAAAATACATAAAGTTTAACAAATCTAAAAAAATTTGACAGGAATTTCAGAGCTATCAAAATTCTCCAACGACAAACTTAGGCAAAGAAATAACTTCTAGATCTTCACGCGTCTGAAAATAACCTCACAAAAGTAATTACTCTCACAATCCCAAAAACCTTTTAAAAATACCTTTGCAGCTTCTTTCATATCGATATTAGCCTCTACAGCAATTGCAATTAGATTCTTCAACCCATTAGCTATCGAATGGGGTACTGATACTGTTGTCGGGTAATCAATGGCCAGTGACACTGCCGCCACATTTCGAACTCCATCAAGGAACTTTGAGCGAATTTCATCCATAGTCATGTCCAGAACTTCCGGCGCGAAAATCGTACCATTATCGTACACCTAAGGCAAACACAACTTTTCAACAAAAGAAGAAAAATTCAATAGTAACGAAGGTAATCCAAAAACCAAGCTGACTAGCTGTTTGTAAAAGAATGCCAAGCGTACGTTTTAAAGAAATAATAAATTACTTGTTGTACAACGAGACCGTACGAAAACGGCTGAATGTTAAGCATATTCAGGAGGGCCGCTTCAGAGGCACCGACCTTTTCC